TTCCATAGTCTAGAAAGAAAGCAGATTCTCTATGTCTCTATCTCTGTCTGTCTCTATCTGCCTCTGTCTGTCTCTGTCTGTCTGTCTCTCTCTCTCCCCTCCCCCAATTAAATAGTATTGATCCAAAGTGCTTTATTTTGAAAACTACATAGGTCAAAGCTAATATACGTTTCATCAACTCTAACTTTATGAAATTTTTTTTCAAATTCCAAGGCTAGCTCTTCATGAAACCTACAATGATCTTTCCTTCTCTCTCTTCTTACTCTTTTTGCACTAAATAATAATTGACATTTATGTACCACTTAAAGTTTATTAAATATTTTGCTCACTATCCTATAAGCTATTAAGGACAAGTATTATTATCACTTACTTATCATCTGTTCTACAAAATTAGAAATTTATCATATACTTTTCTTTTTTGATTGTCCATCTACTAATTTAGCTCTTTGATATTATCTTAGACTAATGGAATCTTTCACAATTCCTGTAATCAACAGGTGAAAAGGTTGACTTAATTGTAAGAACAAAACTAAGATTTCAGAGCAGTATAATTCCAGGTCAATCACTAGTCAATTTAGTAAATGACTTTTCTGTGTCTTCTGAAAACTGGAAATAATGCTTATTTAAAATCTCAGAAGAGTATTTACTTCTTTCCATACTTTACACTGTCTAAAAGCAAATAGGCAACAACTACAACATTGTTAACTATGTGTGGCAGGTATGACTGTAAAATAGTGAACAAATAAATTTTTAGAACTAATCTAAAACTTGATTTTACTCTATATCCTATTAGTAAAAATGAAGAGATGTGAAAGAATTAAAAATGAAGGGATATCAACTATCTAGTCCTGAAAAATAGAATGTTTGGAATGGAAAGAGCATTAGAGATCAACTGGGTCAGTCTCCTTTTATTAAACATCAGAATATCAGTACCAGATCTTAAACAATTTTATAAGGCAGAAATGATCAAAACTCTGTGGTACTGGCTAATAAATAGAAAGGCAGATTAGGGAAACAGAGTAGATATACAATGCACAATAGCAAATGATTAAAATTTCTGTGTTTGACAAATGTAAAGATTTAAGCTTTTGGGATAAGAATTCATTATTTGCTAAAAATTGTTTAGAAAACTGGAAAGCATTCTGGCAAGAATTGTGTATTGACCAATATCTTATACTTTTTACCAAGATAAGGGTCAAAATGGATACATGACCTAGATATTAAGGGAGATATCATAAATAAATTAGGAGAACATGGGACATAGTATCTATGAAACTTATGAATAAGATTATTTAAGAAACAAGAGATAGAGAATGTTGTGAGATATGAAATGGATAATTTTTATTACATTAAATTTAAAAAGGGTTGTACAAATAAAACTGATGTGGCCAAGATTAGCTGGGAAGCAGAAAATTGAGGGGTATTTATAGACAGTTTCTTGGATAAAGGTCTTATATCTCAAATATATAGAAAAAAATATCAAATTTATTAAACTATGAGTCATTTTCCAATTGATGAATGGTCAAAGGATATGAACAGTAGGGTTTTTTAATGAAGAAATGAAGAAAATGAAGAAAAATTCTCTAAATATTTAATGATAACAGAAATGCAAATTAAAGCAATTTTGAGATATCATCTCATATTTATCAGATTGAATAAAATAATAGAAGGGGGAAATGACAGATGTTGGAGGGGATGTGGAAAAAATGGGATACTCATACACTGCTGGTAGAACTGTGAACTGATCCAACCATTTTGGAAAGCAATCTGATATTATGCCCAAAGAGTTATAAAACTATGTATACCCTTTGACCCAGCAATACCACTATCAAGTCTATTTCCCAGGATTATCAGGGAAAAAGGGAAAAAAAACTTATATATTCTAAAATATTTATAGAAGCTCTCTCTGTGGTGGCAAAGAACTGGAAATTAAGTGGATGGCCAACAATTAAGGCATGGCTAAATAAGTTGTGGTATATGATTTTTGATGGAATCCTACTATGGTATAAGAAATGATGAGCACATTGGTTTTAGGAAAAAAAACATGGAAAGACTTGCATGAAAGAATGAAGAGTGAAATGAGCAGAACCAAGAGAATATTCTATACAGTAATAATAATATTGTTATAAGAATAACTTTGAATGAGTAAGTCATTTTTGAGTTTTATAAGTACTCAAATTAACTACAAAGGACCTATCAAGGAAGATGCTATCATGCATCCAGAAAAAAGATAAATTGAAGTATGCATAATATTTCTTTTTATATGTTTATAAATCTGTGTCTATTTCCTTCACCTGGGGGCATGATGTATAACATTTAACTTGCAAATAGGGCAAAACAGTGTGTTCAGCATCTTCCTTAACTGATCTAGACATTTGCTTGCACTTGGGATAAAAAGAAAAGGTTTTGAAGTTGAGATCCATTTTGGGGAGGACAACCCAAGATGATTCGGCCTGAATTTGATTTGCCTGCAGTACCTTCCCAGTTAGCAGAAAACAGAGGAAGAGTAGAAATTCCTGCCACCTCCTAGAAGTCTCATTTTTTTTCTTCATTTCTTTCTAATAAGTGTTAGAAACAGAAATTGAAACCATATTGTTCTAACTCAGATCAACTTTATCTGTTATACCATGCTAATGTCCAATTTTAAGTCAATGTGTTAACTCTTAAGGGAATTTTTACTTTTGAAATTTTGCTCTCATTAGACAAAGTGTCTTTTCCTCATGTAAAAGGAAATTTGAGCATCAGAAAAGGTTAGAGGGGATAAAGGGAGAAAAAACATCCCTCGTACAACTCAGTTAATACCCTAGAGCAGTCATATGGGGGACGAACGAATATATTCATGCCAAAGCCTCCCTTTAATAAGGAGGACTCAGAATTTTTCAGCAATGTTCATTTTTCATCAACTATGCAGCTTGGTTTTGACTGTGGGCACATCATGCCTACTTGTGCAACACTCTGCCTGCCTCTTTCCCTATTTTCAGTTTCCTTTTTTGTATTATCTTCCCACATTAGATTGTAAGCTCCTTGAGGGAAGGGGTTGTCTTTCTTTTTCTTATTTATACCCCTAGCTCTTAGCACAGTGTTTGTTACATAGTAGGCATTTAATAATTGTTTATTGATTATGACCATAACTATATGGAGACAATTTGCTGAAGTTGAAAAGACTGCTAGTTTTGGAGTCATAGTACCTAGATTTGGATCCCAACTCTACTACCACTCTTTACATATATAAATGCATATACACATATGTATCCAAGGTATTATACAGACACACGCATGTGTATATGCTATCGATACACATACTAATATACATACATTATGTATATAATGTATACTATATACATTACTAATGTATACTATATACATTATATACATTATGTATATAATGTAGCTCACATGCATATGTGAGCTACAAGTATATATACTTACATGCATGTATACATATATATACACATATGCAAACATATGTAATCATGTAAAAGTCATTTAATCTCTCTGAATTTCAATTCCTCATCTGGAAAAGGAGGGTTTTTGACTAGATGACACTTTTACCTATAAATCTATGATTCAATAATCTTTTTAATAAATGTTTTGTTGATTTGACTATTCCCATGCAGACAACTAGTCTAGTCTTGTCTCTAAAAGCACATATTTCAATACATCTATGTCTTTACACACATATATGTATAATCAATGATGACCAATTCTAAGTAATGTGTACATCAACATATATTATATAGGTATGTGCTGAAATAAGTACTGTACACTTAAAACATTTAAAGTCATTCTGCAGAAAAAAAAATCATATTTCCCCTTTTAAAACATTTTTACTTATATCCCTTTGAACTTGAAAAATCTACATTAGTTTACCGCCCAAGTCTTTGGTACCATTTAAAGTTAGTAAATCTCCACCCATCTATTCATACGAAATTCAAATTCCCATCCTACCTAGCCATCATGGTTTGACTATCTGTAAATATAGTAGGGCTCCTGTAACTTCATCACAAGTAGAGCAGTAGACCACATGCCTGATTCTGTCTTCCCAGGGAAGAGTAGGCCAGTGCAGATTAAAATAGTCAATCTGACAAATACTTATTGGAAGCTTATAATGGTTTTGGGTGCTACGGACGATGTAAACAATTCATTGTCATTTTCTCTAGGCTGCGTGATGTTTATCAGTTATTAAATGAAGACAGAGAGCACATGCTTATGAAATTTGGGAATGACATGAAACTGGGAAGGATAGTTAATATTTAATTTGAGTGACAAAATTAGTATCAAAAAAGATTTTGAGAAACTGGAATATTGTACTGAAATAAATATGAGAAACTTTTTATGAATGTAAATGGTTATCCTCAGGTTTAAATGCATAAATATAGAGTATGGAAATTATTTATGAGAAAGTCCTGTATTTTTACATAATCTCAACACATATCAAAAGATAAAATGGCAATCTCAAAATCTAATATGATAATAAGTGACAATAGTAGGAGTATTGTGTCTAAAAAATGAGAAGTAATAGTTATCTTTCCCAAGCTTCAGTAAGGCTCCAAGAGGGTTACTAGGATATTGACTTCTACTAGGATTGATAACTTCTCAATGATGTTGTAGAGGGAATTTGCTCTTTAGGTAAGGATGGTATTACATGATGTCCTAACTCTCATTTGCCTCTGAGGTTCTAAGATTATAAGTGTAGGCTTATCTTTCTGCATTTAAACACAAATGTCATCCATATAACTCAGTAGAGCCCTCAGAATGCTTTCTATGCCAAGACCTGCAATGCTTTCAAAGTGGATACACTTTGTGTGGATGCAAATTGCTGCTCTACAATACAGACACATTAATAGATGATCTTTGAGGATTGTCCCTGACAAAAACGTTTGCCCTCTTGCAGTCAACCTTGCAATGAGTCTTTTGATGACTTGATTTAGCATTGTACTAAAATATACAATGAGCACTAACATACATCTATAATATGATGTGTCCCTGAAATAACTCACCAAAGACAGTCCTTGCAGGTACCGATTCTCTATTTAGCCAGAATGATACTTGGGAGAGAATGACTGTCATGATACAAGGTAGGTAGGTCTGAATGACAAAATAGCCAATTTTTCTTTTCAAGTGGAAATGTGCTGTCATAACTGTATATTCACCTACATGAAAATGAAAAAAAAAGTTTCATTAGAAAGTTGAAAAGAATAATATTGTCTAAATAGATTGAGCATTTGGAGAGATCTGCAGATATCAGAGAAATTGTCATTTTAAAAAATCCTAACTATAGCACATTTTAAAATGTGAATGTACCATTTTTCTATCCCAATAATACTTTGAGATAAATTAAACATTTACCAATAATTTCAGAGGAGACATATAATCATACAATACCCTCAGCAGTGTTTTCCTTCAGAAGCATGACTTGTGAAAACATTGTGTATCAACAGACTCCCTCTGATGCTGGGGTTTCTTGACCTCTTCAGATTTCTCATGCCCACTAGCAGTCAACTCTGAGCACTATTTTATTGGCCCTAACTCTGTTTTTTTTTAAAATCTAGAACCTTAAGCACTGATCTCCAGTCACAGTTCTGTTGTTACACAGCTGATTTTTTGACCCAATTCTTTTACTTTTAGCCCAAATACCAACTGCGGGATTCCCAATGTTCTGTCAGAACTAATTCAGTTCATTCAGTCCTGTTGGGATCTTATGGCAGACTTCTTCTCTATTCCCTGGGTTTTAATTATTGCCAGATGTAAGCTAATTAACCCTCACAGCTGTCTTCTCATAAAATAGTGTGCCTTGTATCCTGAGCAGCAGCTTTTCCACACTACAATAAAAGGCCAAAGGTAATTATCTAGAAATCAGGAACTGTACACTCAAAATTTATTCAGAAACAATAGGAAATGAATAAATGAAATGGCGGGGGGAAGTAACTAAGTTTTTGGGCAAAGAGTAAAATGAAATTTTGGGCAAAGACATTATTACTATTTCAACAAATTTTATATTTCAGCCAACAAATCACCCTTCTGATGTCTCACTTTGATTCTTAGTCACTTGATCTTATTTTCATTTGTGTTTAACTTGCCTGTACTAGATTTAATTGTCTCCTTTCCAATTGTTTGGCCTAGGAGATCATACTGATTTAATCTGGACCCATCTGGAGCAACCTGAACTGAATCAGATGCGTTATAAGTCCAAATATAGGTGACTTCTGAGGTTGTGTATGCATCTGTAAAGAAAAAAAAATTGGAGAAAATAGCTTGTCAGCTTTTTAGTAGAAAACATCCAGAGCTGGAAATTGCAGAGTAGGACCATGGACAAAATATCAAGTACACTTATATTTACCATTCATGCTGTTTTAGAGCCAAATGGTGTTACTAAAATTAAAACAACTTTAGTATGAGTTGCAGGAAAGAAACTAAGCACTCAAATACCACTGTACTTTTTCTCCCTTTTCACAATGTCCATATGAGCTAGCTATAGTTAAGTTTATCTTATAGCTCCACATGTAGATATGAGGTCCCTTTAAATTCAGAAGACCTATAAAAAGATAAGCAACAAGAAAAAAAAGTCCCTAATAGTAAACAGATAGAGAAATTATCATAAAGAAACAGGTGGCTTCTCTAAGGCCAGCACGAGAACTAGGCAGTGATCTTTATGTCCAAAGTGTTCTAGTTTGTTGAACTAAATGTAACCTAGTTAGGAAATAATGACTTAGCTGGAGAGACATAGTTCATGTATAATAGAGATGAATTCATTGCAATGCAAAATCAAAACGATAGCTATGTTGCAAATGACATTTCTAAAATTGGTTCTTTAGTGCTTATAGAGTTCATTGGATGACTATATCCATGAGCTCAGAGTGAGGAGTTATACAGTATTTCTTTTTCTTTTTCTCCCACATTCTGTTTCATGATTTTGGCTGCAAAGAATGTGAAGTAGTTGCATCACCCACTAATTTGAATCCACTTTGAGGTGAGTGTAGCTGGTGAGATTGTACTGGGAACTGCAGGCCACCCGCTCTTCTTCCAGGCTAGCTCCTGTAGCCATCATACAGGGGAACAACTGTTGTCAAAATAGGACTTGGCAATTGTCTCTGAAGTTACACAGTGGCCACTGCTACTGAAGACTCAGAAGAGAAACCAACAAAGTCTTGGGCACTGTCAAATGGTATACCATCAAAAACTGATGTGGTTTTACTAATGGAAATGACATTGCCAATGATGTGTTACTCCTTGCTTAACCACTGTACCCTAAGGAAAACAGGGCCATTCCATTTGACTTACAGCTGAAATTTTTATTTATGCATTGTCTCCTATTATAATATGAGCTCCTTGAAGGCAGGAACTGTTCTGCTATGCTTATCTGGCTTGCATCCCCCAGTGCTTAGCATAGTGCTTTTCACAGATTAAGCATTGTTTAAAGTATTTTTTTCATTCTTTCAATCATTAACTGGATGTATATTTCCCTAATGCTTTAAAAGAACTATCCCTTGAAATTCCACTTTTGAATGATGATAGAAATAGCTGATGCCACACCTATTTTATCTTACATAGCCATGGAATGATACATGTTGAAAAGCTATTTATAAGTAAATACTTCCAATGTTTCCAGACCTAGCATCATATTAAGTCATGTGTTAGTCTTTATACTATTTAGTAAGCACTTTTCAATTAACCAATCCTAATGACTTTTCTATAGGAGAACATCAAAAGTAAGTTTTATGATGTGCAATTCTTCCTAGCAATTAATTTGATGAATGTCAAGTAATGCCTAGTTTTCTGAGCTTGGACATTTCAATTTGTGAGCCATATGGGAGAAAGTTCTACTTTTCTTCATGATTTTCACTGCCATCTATTTTCAAAAGACAGCAATGTTTGATTACAGAAATAACACATATAACAGCATTAAAAAGAATCCACAAAACTCAATTGGCAATTTCACACCTTTTTTTTAAGTTTGACTGATTGGAATACAGACTAACCTCAAAAATTAAAGCAATATGCTGCTGCAGTTTTTGCATTCATGAGAAAGCTCCGTATTGGAGACATTACAAAAATTCTTATAGATTGTGAGGAGCAGGGAAAGTCTCTAAAAGGAGATAGAGGATGCTCATGATGATAACTAATATTTACTTAGTAATTATTACTTATTTTTAACCTTATTTTTAAATTTTGAGTTCTAGATTCTCTCCCTCCCTCCAACTCGTCCCCTACCCACTAAGGCAAATGATATACCAATCATACATGTGAAATCATGCAAGATATCTCCATATTATTTGTACTGCAAAAAAGAAGCAAAAAAAATAAAATGAGAAAATTATAATTCAATTTACACTCAGAGTTCATCAGCTCTCTTTCTGGAAGTAGATCACAGTTTTTCATCCTTAGTCCTTTATAACTGCCTTAGATCATTGTATTGATCAGAACAGCCAAGTCCTTCACAGTTGATCATCCTTCCAACATTGCTGTTACTGTGTGTAATGTTCTTCTGGTTCTTCTCACGTTACATTAGTTCCTACAAATCTTGCCCTGTTGCTGTTGTTGTTGCTATTTTCCTGAAACCACCCCCTCATCATTTCTTTTTAACACAATAGTACTCCATCACAATCATATTCCTCAAGCGATGAACATCCCCTCAATTTCCAATTCTTTGCCACCATAAAAGAAGTGCTATAAATATCTTTCGTACATATAGGTCTTTTTACTTTTTCTTGATATATATGGAGTAGAGACCTAGGAATGGTATTGCACAGTTTTATAGCCCTTCGAGCATAATTCCAAATTGTTCTCTAGAATGGTTAGGCAAGTTCACTACACTACCAACAACTCATTAATATACCTATTTTCCTTCACTGCCCCCCCCCCAAGCATTTGTTATTTTTGTTAGGTATGAGGTAGTACCTCTGAGTTGTTTTGGTTTGCATTTTTGTAATCAATTGTCACTGAGACCATTTTTTTTATATGACTATAAATAACTTTTGATTTCTTCCTCTGAAAACTACTTGTTTATATCTGTTGTTCATCAATTGAGGAATGGCTCTTATTTTTATAAATTAGGCTCAGTTCCCTAAATATTTGAGAAATGAGGTTTTTATCAAAGAAACTTGCTGTGAAAAAATGGCTGCAGTATTTTATTAATTAGCCTAACTTTGCCTTCTAAGCTGAATCAAATGACCAGAAAGTGAAAACTGTTTTTTTTTATCCTTACTTTGGTTTTTTAAAAATCCTAACATATATTTACATTAATCTTTCTTTTTTCTTGCACCAAAGATTTCATTCATAGTTGATGTTTTTTTTGGGGGGGGTGAAGAATCTTCAGAAATGAATCAAAATTATCCTTACAAAATTATTCAAAAGTTTAGATTTTAATTTAATCATTGTTGAAACAAACTGAAGAAGTAGGCTAAACTCTATACAGGGTAAAATATAAGAACATATGGGAAATGAAAATTATAAAATTATATAGATCTAGAAAGTTAGAAATATAGTAATAGACTATGCCTCTTCTATTAGAAAGTGATGTAGATCCCAAACTGATTTTAGTTTTGTTACTGCTCTTAAATAAGAAGGAGAACAATGACCATAAGAATGAATAAAGCTCACTCCCTCCTGACAATATAGGAGAATGGGGTAGGGTAGGAGATAAGCATTTATATAGCACCTACTATGTTCCAGGCAGTGTGCGAGTACTTTACATACATTATTTCATTTGATCTTCACAACAATCTTGTGAAGTAGGCGATGTTATTATATTACAGTTGAGGAAATTGAGCGAACGAGAATAAGTGACTTGCCTGGGGTCACAGAACTAATAACTGTCTAGCCCAGATTTAAACTCAGGTCTTTCAGCTGTGCCACCTAGCTGCCTCTTTGGCATGTGAAGCGTGCCAAAATTGAGTGATTTAAAAGGACTACTGAGTCTGCCAGCAAAAAATATAGGTATTCCAAAAGTAACTCTGATGAAAATAAATTACTTTTTAAATGTGATATGAATCAGAAAAAAAGTGAGAAAAGGATGGAAAATGACTAGCTTTGAGAGAGAAAGGAATTTGAGATGAACATAAAGGATGAGATGAGCAATGTGAAATTCTCATTCAGCAGGAGGTCAAGCTAATCTGTAAGAGTTCTTTCATGATCATTGTTATAGCCTCTTCCCCAGAACTCTAGAGATTGGCAGACCAAGAACAGAAAATGAACAATAATAAACTAACACAAAGCAAGAGAACTTCCTCTACTTTGGCATTGCTAACATCTATTCATATCACTCATTGGGCAAACTTACCCAGGTGTTCCAAATCACTACATTATGAATATTCTGCCACTTTTTTAGTGCTGTATTTTAAAGGAATCTTTTATTTGTTGCATTTAAAACATTTGAATAAGCTCTCTTCCATTTTTATTCTTGTATTCTGAATAATTTGTCTTTTTAAAAATTATATTTAATATCTTGTTCCAAAGCTGTCTTTTTGTCCTGAAATACTCATTTAGGTTAAATTTCTTATTTTGATCTTAGATTTTCATTTCTCTCTGCAATGCAACTTACATAAGTCAAATGACTGCTTTCTGTTTTGTATCCACTCTCATTTACACAGTTCTGATGTCAATATTTCATATTAGTTATTAGAGATATTTAGATATTAGAGATAGTTATTAGATATTAGATTTAGATATTGGAGATAGTTATTAGATGTTCAACTGAGATTATAGATCTGAAGAGATCTTTTCTATGAAAATAAAAAGTTAATGAAAGATTTTGTGTGTGTGTGAGAGAGAGACAGAGATACAGAGACAGAGATAAAGAAGGAGACAAATAGAGTAAGACAGAGAGACAAAGGCAGAGACAGAGAGGAGAGAGATGGAACAGTGAATAAAATGCTGGGCCTAAAGTCAGGAAGACTTATCTTCTAAATAGGGTTACAAAGAGTAAGACATGATTGAAATGACTGTATAAAAACTATGTGTGTGTGTGTGTGTGTGAGAGAGAGAGAGAGATAGAGACGGGGACATTGATAAAGAAAGAGAAAGAGACAGAGACAGGGTATTATCAGGCCCCTTCAGAAGAACAAGATGCAGCATGAAAGATGATCAGTTTCTTATCCTATAAAACCATGAAAACAGCAAAGATATTCTGTAGTTATTTTGCCAGCCAGACTTCAATGTGGCACACTTGAGCTTTCTAAGGAGAACAAGGTACTGACAGACAATGGTGGTAAATTGTAGAATAGTTGCCAAATTACATAGAGTTTCATCATAGAGGATTCCTTCACTGAAGAAACCATAGGTCTAGACCAAATACCCCCTCTTTTGTATGAAGAGGTGTTGATTCACAGAGTGACCTGGAATATTCCACTGTACAGGAACCAGGAATATGGTGGGTGCCCAAAGGAACATGGCATCCAGAAAAGAAGTTTCTTTTCAAGTGTGAATGAATCTGTAAATTTTCACAACAATGCTTTATACCAGGGAGCAGGTACTTGACATTTTCCCTGTGATTCAGATAGTATGATGCTGCTATCTGATCCAGAGTATTCCAACAACTGCTAATTGGTCAAAGACCCAGAGCCTTAACATACGCCCTGTGTATCCAGCAATGGTTGTATCTAGAAAATAAGTTAAATTATTTCTCTCCAATTAATATCAGAATACCAAATATCCTAAATTTCATTGTATTGGGAAGCTGCAATGGTAGTACCATACAATCTTTTTTTTTTTAAAGCTTTACCATCAGAGATTTTTCAAAGTGGAGAGATTACTATATACTCAGAATTGGTAAGCTCATTACTAATGTATGTACACTTTGCAATATAAGATGACTTTGTATCAAACAAGGGCCTGTTCCAAAGGGAAATATATAAATATATAAATGTTTCCATGAGGAAAACAGTAATCTAAAAGTTGAAGTAAAAACATAACATGTCTTAGTTTGGATAGGACCTTAGAGACCAAGTAGTGAGTCAGTCAATAAATATTTATTAATCACCTACTATGTGCCTGGCACTGTGCTAAACTTTGAGGATACAAAGAAAAGCATGGCAGTCCCTGCCATCAAAGAGCACATAATCTAATGAGAAA